AGCTTCAAGTAAATCCACTATGTAGTCCCGACTGAAAGTCGGCCTTGTTAATAATGTAAATATTGTAAATACGGTAAATATCAATGTAAATAGACCAGTGTACATAGAGTAGGATGTACGCAGGGAATTGTGATTCACCCCTCCATAATCACCTTTCCACGACCCATCCCGAGGGTCCTACCAAAGTGAGAGTTGCAACAGCAGCCGAATGCTTAAGGGGAGGTACTAGGAATGGACAGGGATAGGCACCTGCCACGCAGGCAGCGTTTAATGGCCTTGGTATCACCACCCCCTTAAGAATCATTATACTGTAATATGTTGCTACCTGCAGACTATATGAGGAATTGTCAAGAGGGAGCTATGACTATATGTCAGGGGGTAGTTCCCACCATAGAGATGACAGACGATAGGTAGAGGCGGGTCATACCTGACACGCCTGCTCTACGCCAGTAATAAGAGGTGACAGTGATGAAAGGGCCAGTCACAGTGAACGCTCGACTGCCGCGCTACCGGCCCTTAGTACTTCCATCACCTCTCTTAGAACATAAAATAGATGGTGACAGCTTTAAGTAAGGAAGGAAGCCCTGAAATAGGAGAATCCTAGCTGAGAGTAAGCTAGGATTATTGTGTTAACTCCTTACAACGTAAGCTGTGGTAGCAAGGAGGGGTACCTCCACGCCACCCCTGCACCACGGCGTTACAAGATGGTGGCAAGGAGGGGTACCTCCACGCCCCCCTGCCTCCACGGCGTTACAACCAGGATGATGGATAAAGTCCAAAAACCCAATATATCAGTGAATCAGCACTATGTTTTGAAGTTGTAGAGAATGTAACATAAAACATAGTCCATTGATGACAGCAAGAGACATCACCAAAGCATGAGCTGACACCAGGCATTCTCAAAGACATACAAATAAGATTTGAATTGACTCTAATAGAATCAGTTTGTTGAATATTCCAAGAAACTGGTATCTCCATCATCCTGTCCATGTACAGGGCTATGAAAATCCTGTAATTTTGTCTACATAACAGTGCATCACCTTCAACCTGCAGATACTATTTAAGAAATACGTGGGGCAACCCAAAACTTCCCAAAATTTGAATTTTGCGCGTGAATGGTTATGAGTACATCGAAATACCGCTTGGTGTCTAATCACACATCCTTCTTGAATCAGTGTAGTAAGCGGCATCGAGTTGAGTGGTTGGGTTTATTGTTGGTGAATGTATTTCCATTGTTGTGTTTCCGTCAGTTTGCGGTTTTGCGATGGCTGACCTGAGAGAGCAGTGTGTCTGTATAAAGCTTTGTTTCAAACTTGGGAAAACCGCTGCAGAAACGCACCAAATGTTGAAGCAAGCTTTTGGTGAAAACAGTTTAGGCCAGACACAAACTGACAACTGGTATAAGCATTTTAAAAATGGCCGAACATTGACTGATGATGACGATCGTTCGGGATGCCTGTCAACAGGCAAAACACCACAAAATGTCGCAAAAGTTAGGGATCTGATTCTGCAAGATCATAGACTGACCATCCAAGACCACTGTAACACCTTAGGACTAAGTTATGGTACATGTTAACAAATTTTGTCAGAGGAACTGAACATGAGGATTACGGCGAAGTTTGTGCCACAACTGCTGCAAAATGAACAGAAGCAGCATCGCTTGGAAGTCTGCAGGGAACTTCAACAACAGCTTCAAGAGGATCCAAACTTTCTTTTGAAGGTTGTCACTGGTGACGAAAGTTGGGTTTATGCCTACGACCTTGAAAGCGAGCAGCAATCATCGCAATGGAAGAGCCCTTCTTCACCTCAGCCAAAAAAAGCTCGACAAGTCAAGAGCAACATTAAGTCCTTGTTGATCTGTTTTTCTGATACTGACGGGATTGTTNTATCGTGATGTTCTAAGGCATTTGAGGGAGGACGTGAGGAGAAAACATCCAGAGAAGTGGTGCACGAACAACTGCGTAGTCCACCATGACAACGCACGACCGCATACGGCTTACATTGTGCAGGAATTTGTTGCTAAAAACAAGATGGCAGTTGATCCCCACCCACCGTACTCGCCAGACTTAGCTCCATGCGACTTCTTTCTCTTCCCCAAGATAAAAATCAAGTTGAAGGGGCGAAGATTTGATACAGTTGAGGAAGTTCAAGCGGAAACGAAGACGATACTAAACACCCTAACAAAGAAAGACTTCCAGGATGCATTTGAAAAGTGGCAGAAACGCTGGGATCGGCGTATGCGCTCCCAAGGGGACTACTTTGAAGGTGATGGTGCAGAATAAGATCCAGGTAAGATGTAATAGTTTTTATTAATATATTTCGGGAACTTTTGGATTGCACCACCTAAAATCTGTAAATGGCTTTCTAGAAACATCGACAATGGCTTAAATGATTCTCATTTTTTTTATCATGCCACTGGGATACTCAAAATAATATTAACCATTAGATTCCATTACAAAACAAGAAATTGGGATCAACTGCACTAAATATACTATTACGTAGAATTGTAGATCCAATATTCTTTGATAATACAATTAGTTAAGAGGTATGTGGACATTATTTTGGAGTCATACTTTCAAGAATAAACTGAAGGAAACAGTTATGCATATTTTCAGTGCAACTACTGCTAGATCACACATTATGTAAACAGTGGTTTTGCTGAAAACATTTTCCTTGCATGTTACTCAGTGTTTTAATCCAGCAAAGGTGTTCACAATAATGATGACTGTTTGATGTACCAGTGACATGTAGCACAGTCAGACAATTCACTATTCAGAATAAAATAAGTCTGTGGAACTATTAATTTTCTCACCTGTGAGAATTGACATGACTGTAGTTTTACCAGCACCATTATGTCCAAGCAGTGCTGTAATCTCACCACTATAGATATCTAGAGTGACTCCATCTACTGCCACCTTCTTATTCAGTCCACCATAGGACTGAAATACTTTATAAAGATTTCTAATCTTGATTCCAACAGAGAGATTGCCATGAGGTTTCTCAAACTTTTTGCTGGACACTGTGTCATTGTCTGAAGTAACTTCCATATTATTTACTTTGCTGTTGCGCCAATAAGATGGCTAGAAAGAAAGAATTACAAGCTACTTAAATCTATACATATTCAAACACACTTGCTGAGGAAATGAACATTTTTCAAATATTCTAAAGCACAGGTAACATGTCTGAAAGTCTGTTATACTGATGAGATCAATGTCATAAATCTATGTTCAAAAATATGGAATATGTTAAATAAGAATATTAATTGGCATGGAACTAAATAATTGGTAAAATAAAATAAAATAACTTGTGTATAAAATCTAATATCAAATGCAACAAAGCTGAATCCACTACTATAGTGCACTGAAGAAATTCTGCCAAATACATAACTCAGAACTCAGTTATTCAGTGTCTGACATGGTGATATTTGTCAAATGACCCCAATGCATTATTCAATAACACATATAGATACTTTCACACCTTCTATAGCTAAAAAAGCCTTTAATGATATTTACATAAATTGCTCTAATGTAAAGGGGGGTGGAAGGATGAAGGGGAAAGAGAAACAAAGAGAGTATGAAAGGGGGAAGGAATGACAAGAGGGACGACAAAGAGAAGAATAGCAAAGGGATACATCAGAAAAAGGGGAAGGAGATAAAAGTACAAGGTGGTTCAAATATGACTGGGACTGATTTGCGTGTAAACAAGCCACACTGCGCAGCAGCTGTGCGACCTTGAGAGAGTGAAGCCACAACCTCCACCCTCCCTCCTGTTCCGGTTAGAACCTGTTCAGTCCTGTCTGGGAGTTGCTAGAATGATGAGTGAACAGAAGGTACCATGGAGAGTGGAACAACGCATTGTGATCAAATTCCTCATTGGAGAAAATTTCCTGTCCACTGAAATTCACCACAGACTCCAACAACAGTTTGGGGAAGAGTGCCTCTCACGGACCCGTGTGTTTGAGTGGTGTAAGTGCTTCAGAGAGGGCAGAGAGCGCGTGGAGAATGAACCGCATGATCGTCGGCCGTGAACATCCATCACCAAGCCAAACACTGATCGTGCAGACATGCTTAGTCATGAGAATAGGCACATCGCTATCATGGAGCTTGGAGCAATGCTGTCCATCAGTGTTGGTAGTGTAGAAGACATCCTGAAATACCACCTGCACTATCGCAAGATGAATGCACGGTGGGTACCAAGCACTTTGATGGATGTGAACAAAATGGTGCGCATGCAAGCTGCCAGTCATCTCCTACAGCAGTTTGAAGATGAAGGTGATGCATTTTTGAAGTCTATAGTGACCACCGATGAAACGTGGGTGCACTACTTCATTTCCGAGTTCCAGCAGTCATTACGCGAGTGGTGGCATACCAGATCTCCCAAACCCAAGAGAGCACGGAGGAGCCGTTTGGCAAGAAAAGTGATGGCAACGTTCTTCTGGGACTGGCAGGGGGTTATCCATGTAGACTTTCTGACAGTTGCCAGAACAGTCAATGCAGCTTATTACTCAGAACTCCTGGCAACAGACGTGAAGGAAAAGATCTGATCCAAGCGGAAGACAGGTGGAAAGCGGGTAGCCTTCCTTCAAGACAATGCATGCCCCCATATGGCCAAAACAACAACGGAAACCCTCCAGAAATTGAAAGTGAACCTTCTGACACATCCGCCATTACAGTCCCAATTTGGCCCCAATTGATTTCTACCTGTTCGGAAGGCTCAAATCAGACTTGCAAGGCATGGGGTTTGCGGAAGACACCGTCATCCAGACTGCTCGGGAGTGGATATGCCGCCAACCACAAGCCTTTTTTGAAAAGGGCATCAGGATGCTTCCAGAATGTTGGAAAAAATGTGTTGACTCCAGAGGGGAGTACGATGAAGACTGACATGTGCAAGTTTTTGGCAATTATGATTTAAAAAAAAATCAGTCCCAGTCATATTTGAACCACCTTGTATAAAAGAGGGAAAAGAAAGGAAGGGAGGGGTTGAGGGATGAAGATATGGAAGTGATGATTTTCCCCAAGGGGATGAAGATATGGAAGCAATGATTTTCCCCAAGAAACTAACTGTGCATACGCTGAAAGATTAACACCACTCTACAGAGGTATGTAGTACTGCAGTCTTCCTTTTGCGTTGGCATTTAAAACATAATTTTATAATTAAATAGTACTTAATCTGTAAACAACAGGACTATTATTTATATAACAAGACTTTCTGCTGTATCTTTAACAGGTACTATACTAGTATGTCTTAAATCTATAAGAATTACAAAAATTACTGTTTATATATTTACACACCAATGCACTTATTTTGGTCTAATTTGGTGTAATGATTATGACTTCTGAAGGAAGGTTTCAGACACTTAAAGAACCATTTCATCCTACCATATTAAGATTCTTTGTGTTAAAAAGGGCTCAGAGAATAACAACTGTGTCAGATTTTTAGATATATATGATGTCCAATTTTAAAAAAATAAGCATAAATTAAAAAAAAATTGCAAAAGGTGATAATTTAAAAAGCAATTAACTTGATAATTTTCTTACAATTCTATTACTTTATATTAGTACTATTGACATTAGAATTTTTAAATGTATAGTACTTCTAAATATATATGTATATTATGCCCATGCAATGCCAGGATGATCAGCTAGTTAAATATAAAACATATTTATCATACCATGAAAATGAAGTACCAGGGTTTTGCAAGACCATACTGTCCTGGCATAATGCTACTTATGTACCACGTTACAAAGCTGTATATAAAAATGTCCACAATGAACATCAGCAACACTAGGCCAAGACTGATGTCACCTTTAATACCACTGGGTGGTTCAAAAAGGTTCATCCAGGTCACGCCAACTTCTGTACCAAACAGAAATAACACCAATAAATTATGTGACAACTCAACTACTTAAAAGCAACATTTAAAATCATTCATCTTTAATGCAACATTAATTAAAAAGAATTCATATCAGGATTATTCATATAAAAGCTGAATTTAAAATTCTAAATAAGAAATCCAACACATTAAATACGAGGTGCGAAAATTTAACTCCTGGAATGGTCCTGTGAAAGCAAAATTTGCTTTCCTGTGCACTAGCTGCTGCTGTCGCCTTCAAAATACTCTCCTTGTGAAGCTATGCACTTCATGTGATGAAGGTGCCATTGCCAAAAACAGCCTTGAAAATCATTTTCCGGAATACCTCACAGTAATGTCACGTTGCACTGGATGTCAGGAATGTCAGCAAATTTTTGTCCCTTCAGGGCATTTTTTAGTTTTGGAAAGAGCCAAAAATCGCAAGGGGCTAGGGTGAAAATGGTGGATTGTCCATTTTTGTAATGTATTTCTTAGCCAGGAACTTGCAAACTCTTAATGCATCATGCGTAGGGGCACTGTCATGGCAGAGAATCCACTTCTCAGGCCAGAGTTTGGGTCTTTTCCTCCAAACAGATTACCGTAACCTTGCCAGCACTACCACATAACACTGTTGTCCTTGTGGAAAGAATTCATTGTGAACTAATCCGTTGTGACTGATGAAACATACAAGCATGGTCTTCAACATACGAACGGGGACCCAAAAATAACCGGAACTGACCTGTTGCGTGCGCATGCTTTGTAGTTACGAGTTGTGCTGCTATGTGGTGTTAGCTGGGGGTCTCCCGCGACTGTTAGTGAGCTGGCGTCAGTCTGAGTTAAGTGGTTTGTCTGTGGTGCTCTGTTGTGTGCGTTCCTGTTTCAACCCTTTGGCGATTAGTGAGATGGCCGACCAGAAGGAACAAAGAGTGTGCATGAAATTTTGCTTGATGAAGATCATCGAAAGACCATTGACCAACTTTCTGAGGAAACGAACATCTCGCGGAGGACGGTCCAGCAAATTTTAACCGAAGGTTTGCACATGAGACGGGTGTCTGCAAAATTTGTTCCTCGCTTGCTCGGAGATGACCAAAGAGAAAACCGCGTGAATGTTTGCCGCGACTTGAAGAGTGAAGTGCAGAACGATCCAGAATTTCACGCACACTCTTTGTTCCTTCTGGTCGGCCATCTCACTAATCGCCAAAGGGTTGAAACAGGAACGCACACAACAGAGCACCACAGACAAACCACTTAACTCAGACTGACGCCAGCTCACTAACAGTCACGGGAGACCCCCAGCTAACACCACCTAGTAGCACAACTCGTAACTACAAAGCATGCGCGCACAACAGGTCGGTTCCGGTTATTTTTGGGTTCCCCCTCGTATGTACTTTTTTCGGCCAAGGTGAATTCTGTGTTTTCTACTGCATGCTCTGGTGTTTTGTTTCTGGATCGTATTTAAAACACCATGTTTCATCACCAGTAATGACCCTATCAAACATCTCTGCAGTGTACAAATCAGTCAAAATGTGAAGCCAATGTTGTTTTTGGTAATCTGTCAAGATTTGAGGCACCATCTTTACAGAAATTTTTCTCATTCCCAAATCCTCCATAATAATTGGTCGCAATGTTTCCCTGTTCCTATTCAATTCTTCTGCTATTAGTCTTACACCTAATCTTCGATCTCAGCACACCAAGGTTCATACTCTGTCCACATTTGCACATGTTTTTTGCATTTTTGACTGCCAACTTCTTGGGTTATCTTGCATAGCTTCTTGCCCTTCCTTGAACCGCCTATGCATTCAAAAACACTCAATTTCTCTATAGCCTATTCATCATAAGCCAATGTTAATATGGCCAACATTTCACTAGCACTTTTACCAATCTTCACACAAAACTTGATGTTATGCTCCAGATTCTTGTCACTCATTTTTCTGTCAAGTTATAACATGGACATGTACCAATTCCTCTGCTGCTTGGGAATGAACAACTCGTTTGGTCTGTGCCTCATGCATGCAAATGCAAGTTGGAACATATCCAAACATGCTTGGGTACATGAGTTTGCCTGACTCAATACCCCAGTAACATACTGCGGCCATTCCAGGAATTAAATCGTCACAGCTTGTGTATCTCTTTTACCACAGCATGACTCATGTGGTTATAGCTGTGGGACAACTTCTCACTGTAGGAAGATAATTTATGAAACCGGCAAAAAGTTTTCAATTTGACTACCATTAGGCACTGCATTGCATTCCATGGATCTAAAGTTAGTCAAAATGACTGTAGGATGTGGAATATGTCATATAAATACATGACCTATATAATGGAAAAAGAACACCAGACTAAGAAGCTACTGTGAGATTTTTATGAAGGCAGTTGAAAAAAGACCCATAAGCTCTATTGATGTGATGCGTACATCAGTAAAAGTGTGAGTCTCAGGTAAAGACAGACACTAAGACACCAGTACTTTCAAATTCTGACTCAAGAGGATTAAACCCTATGACCACCTATGAACAATTACAGCATATATTAACACATTTTGGGAATAACTGTTATACATTGTGCAATTCAAAAGTTCCCTAAATATATTAATAAAAACTATTACATCTTACCTAGATCTTATTCTGCACCATCACCTTCAAAGTAGTCCCCTTGGGAGTGCATACACCAATCCCAGCATTTCTGCCACTTTTAAAATGCATCCTGGAAGTCTTTCTTTGTTAGGGTGTTCAGTACTGTCTGCGTTTCCGCTTGAATTTCCTCAACTATATCAAATCTTCGCCCCTTCAACTTGATTTTCATCTTGGTGAAGAGAAAGAAGTTGCATGGAGCCAAGTCTGGCGAGTACGGTGGGTGGGGAACAACTGCCATCTTGTTTTTAGCAAAATATTCCTGCACAATGTAAGCTGTATGTGGTTGTGTGTTGTCGTGGTGGAGTACCCAGTCATTGACGTGCCACTTCTCTGGATGTTTTCTCTTCATGTCCTCCCTCAAACGCCTTAGAACATCACGATAGAACTCTTTATTGACTGTCTGACCAGAAGAGATGAACTCCTCATGAACAATCCCGTCAATATAAAAAAAACAGATCAACATGGATTTAATGTTGCTCTTGACTTGTCGAGCTTTTTCTGGCCGAGGTGAAGAAGGGCTCTTCATTGCAACAACTGCTGCTCGCTTTCTGGGTCGCAGCCATAAACCCAACTTTCGTCACCAGTGACAACCTTCAAAAGAAAGTTTGGATCCTCTTGAAGCTGTTGTTGAAGTTCCCTGCAGACTTCCAAGCGATGCTGCTTCTGTTCATTTTGCAGCAGTTGTGGCACAAACTTCGCCGTAATCCTCATGTTCAGTTCCTCTGACAAAATTTGTTAACATGTACCATAACTTAGTCCTAAGGTGTTACAGAGGTCTTGGATGGTCAGTCTATGATCTTGCAGAATCAGATCCCTAACTTTTGTGACATTTTGTGGTGTTTTGCTCGTTGACGGCCGTCCCGAGCGATCGTCATCACCAGTCAATGTTCGGCCATTTTTAAACGCTTATACCAGTTGTAAGTTTGTGTCTAGCCTAAACTGTTTTCACCAAAAGCTTGCTTCAACATTTGGTGCGTTTCTGCAGCGGTTTTCCCAAGTTTGAAACAAAACTGTATACAGACACGCTGCTCTCTCAGGTCAGCCATCGCAATACCACAAACTCACGGAAACACAACAATGGAGATATGTTCACCAACAACAAACCGACCCCCCTACTTAACTTGACGCTGCTTGCCACACTGATTCAAGAAGGGTGTGCGGGGAGACACCTACTGGTATTTCGATGTACTCATAACCATTCGCGCGCAAAATTAAAATTTTGGGAACTTTTGGATTGCACAACGTAGATCTATTATGCATGTTTCACTGACTATAATAAATTAGTACATGTCACCAACATACAAAAAAATTCACTTACTCTTTGATTCATAGGCCACAATTATGCGATAACCCCAAGTAATGGCTGTGTTGGGCAGAAGAGCTGAAAGCAGCTTTATGTATGGAGCAATATAACTATTACTCATAACATAAGAGAAAGTAGCTGAATTTGTCAGGAACCACAGAATGACACCAACACTCATAGCTAAATTTGCTGAAATTATACAATACACAGTTTCTTAGTTAATGCTACAACATAATGAGTGAATCTTCAAATCTGATATGGACATCATATTTCAAACATAATTTTCTACAAATCATAAGTTGATATTTCTTTCCTACTTTAATGTTGGTTACAAGCGGAACAGTTTATGAAATTATGTTCAGCTAACAGCTTTAAATAATGAATAAATATTTCTTTGTACTCTTACAAATGAATCTGTACAAAAAATGTACAGCCAGTATTTACTTACGTCGGGAGAAGAATGCGCTTATAGCAAAACAGAAGGTTACACCAGCTGCACAGTACAATAGAAGATAAATCCACACCAAGAAGCCATTGGAATACTGAAGTACTGACACCTCATTAAACTGAGCTTTCATTAAGATTACTATTATGGTAACTGACACAAAGTTCACGAGCAATGCATTTATCATCCACCCAAACCAAAGCATCCATGACTTCAGTCCCATCATTTTCATCAGTTCCTGAAAATCAAAAGTCATTTTAACATTCAAATTGTGCAAAATAATAACTTCTATTACATGCATATGTTAATATTTGTCTTCAGTATCTCAGAAGGAAAATCACATGTCAGTACTGTGTCTTTGCATACTGTAATGCTTATGTGGCTAGAGACAGAACAGTCATCACTTCATAACCTTGTATGTTACTGATAAAATATCAGGCCTGCCACATGTTTTTAATGAATTTATTAAAATGATGCATGAAAAGAGATATTACTATTATTCCCTAGTTAACAACTTAATAACTATTATTTTAATAACACATATTTTTCTTTAAATCCCTCAAATCTAAATGCATACGTAAGCCTCATATTCATATACAACGAAAATGAATCAAACATATTTATTTCAGTAAGCTTACACTGAATCAACAAGGATGACTGGTAAGTTTTATATAAATTGGTAAATTTGATACCTGTTCTCTGAAGTAAAATATGACAGAGCAAATTTGACCAAAGAGGTTCTATAATAGAAAAGTCCAGTATGGCCCCCAGTAAGAAAAGTTTGCACAGTCCTACATCACAATGAAAGCACCACTTTTAAGTTCTCCTTATAATTCGATATTTAATACATGTTATTTAAGCCCTCCATGCTGTCTAGTATGAAAATTATGGCAGGTGCATATGTCATATGTCATGACACACATACTTGCAATGTCTACAATGCTGCTAACTTTGGGCATTCATGCATAACAAATTTTTAAGATACTCTATTTTCTTAATTACTCAGGGAGGCTATTATTAACTTCAAAACAACACTGAAAATAAAGACATTTTATATACTGTTATTAGAATATCTGTGCAGATAGTTCCTTCCATATAAACATGATCAGCAACAATAAAGTAGCAGACTTAGACATCCATATTTTTAATTTCAATTATTTGGCCACTCTACTATCAACATGAGAGAAAACATGTGAAGGTATTGCCATCATATTAACATAAATTTAAAAAAAGTTTCTGGCAGAGCTCCTAAAACCTACTTTCCTATTGTACAGGGTTGTAATTTTATGAATACTGTGTTCTTAATGTCACATTTGGGTAATATGAGTTTACAATCAAAGAATTCCCTTTGTGGTTTATTTTAAAACACTGTCAGTACCTCAAACTATATAGTGTCAAATGGGAGGACTGGTGAGTAATGAATTGGATAGGATTGAGGGTACTATTCTGGAATTTGTTGTGAGGGACTGAGGAAATAATGAAAAACATCAGTCAGGATAGCCCTCTTATATACAAGCCTAGAGCACTACTTCTCTACCATTCTGAAATTCTGCCAGTGGGTCAGCATGCCAAACTTATGAGCAAATGGCCATAAGACAAAGTTTTACTCAAGTCATTTTCATCATCAGGGTTGACATGAATATCACTGTCAACACTGATAATGGACTAGAGTGGTTCTCCAAAACACTGGCTTTTAGCTAAACAATGATGCACCTGATTGCCTGAGAAGATTCTTCTGAACCTTGTGGTTGTGTTCTGAAACTGCATATAATCTTATACTACCACATTAATTCTTTTCTAATGAAGTGCAAGCTGTCCAACGAGCTCAAAATGCACATACCTTCACTCCAGTTTGTTTTTCCTCCACAACTCTTTTCAAGATGGCAGGACACAGCATTACAAAACTTATCACAGTGCAAAATGGCAGAATTGAAGTGAAAATACTAACGAAGTCGTCTTGATGATATGCAGGGTATGGAAATTGTTGGAGATTCAACTGTGAAAAAGTATCACATTTATTACAGTTGTGTTACTCATGTTTATAACATCTGAAACTAATCCAGCTCTTATATAATCATGGTTACAGCGCTATTTTTATAACAACTTAAGGCAAACTCTCACTCTCTCTCTCTCTTTCATGCATGCACACATACCAATACAGATTAAATTCACACAGTGAAAGTGTCAAATATTGGCATATAAGTTCTACACATTTTTTTGTTCCATGTGTCACTTTGCCATTCATTTCCCAGGAATATGTCAAATCCTTCTGTTTAAACATTTACATGTATGTTTGTGTTTTTCAGATTATTTAACAATGCTTTCTCAACTACAAAGATTACACAAAGCTTTTATCATCTGAGTCTTTCACGACTCTTATGTACTTTATCCTATATGTTGTATTCCCAGTTTCTGTCAGCTTCTTCTGGTAGAGTCTACTGTCCTTACTCTAAAATCGCAATAAGTAAGAAAGTAAGTAAAGGTATCCCTGTAACAGGCCGTGGAGGCCCATGAGATGTTGAGGTTCCCACATTTTCTAGACAATCAGCTCATAGATGGCAGCAAGGTTGTCAGCCTTACGCACCGGCCACCCTTTACCCCATAGAATATTCCAAGTATATTCCTTGTACTCAATTCTATTAGAGGCTGAATCGACCCTAGGGCCATAGTGCGACTGGAAGGATTAGGTCAACTGAAAAAAATCCAATGACATCAGGACTTGAACCCGTGACCTTCCAGCTTGTAGCATAGTGCTTCAACCAACTACACTACTGCGTGCTCCCAAAATTGGAATAAAGTAAATAAAAATTTAGGCTACATTTCAAGTTTGAGCATTTTAAAAGCGCTATAATATAATCTGAGGTCATACAGTGAATATACCTCTTTCCCATATAGTTCATGTAAAGTTGGGGTAAAGTCATGGCTGTGACCAAATATAATGCCATAAAATGTTTAAAAAGCATGGATCTAAAGCTCAAAGCATTCTTAACCACAGCATTAGATAGAGGTGAGTGACAATTGGTGCTTCAGTTGTCTTTGGTTCTGGGGAAAGAAACCCATGGATTATGATGCCTGCAGAAAGTTCTATTTATAATGATGGGCGGTGGCAATAAGAGTTTTCTTCAAACCTTAAACTCAAACCTGAATCAAAGAGATTAACATGATAAGAATTAAAAATACAATCTGTTCACATATCCTGCATAACAGTACGAAATGGGCCTGCATTCTAGAAATGGTACATTTATTTAATGCATGTTTCACTAGGAACAGATAGGAAACTAGATAAATGCCAGAACTGTTACTATGTCATTCAAAAGAAGTACCATAACAAAATTTAAATCAGACATTTGTTTAATGAAAAGTATAAATTACTAAGGTAGAATACATCTACTTAACAATTATAAAATGGTGTTCCTCTTCACTCTATAGATGAGACCAATATCCTTGGTATACTATGAAGAGTTTCTATTAGTAAGTTTCTCTAAAAGATAAATACTTTTACAACACTTAAATCATTACAGGAAGCTATAATCTAAAAGTACAGGGTTCCGGAAGTTCTGCAGTTAAACGGCAAAGCAGATAATTGAAAAGTCTACCATATGTGGATTCTGTAGATCATTGCTGAGGGCGATTGCTTCTCTTGAATCATTACCAGGACATCTTTCATATTACTAAGCAGTGACCAGTACTGACCAATATTAACATCTGTGTCTGTTATCAGTGCATGTAGGAAAGGAAAAGGGTAGAACAAACAAGACCAATGCCAACTTTACCTGCACATGACACAACCTACTGTCACAAAGAAGACTCTAGCAACCATTAATACCAACATAACTGTTACATCAAACATGCACAAAATGCCTAATTATATCATTTAAAAAATTAACAATTAAACATACTTTATATGAAGATGGTTCTGTTCCTGTCATGGCAATGAATGTTTTATCCAACAACAGTTGGAAAGCTAGGAAATTAGAATGATAATAGCTTTCGCCTGAAAAGGAAACAGTTACATGTTAGCATTTTTCTATGCACTCAGTACACACAAAACTGCTTTGTGATAGAGAAAGTAGATGAAATATATATAGAACGTTTCCAGTTTCTAATTAATACTTCCATCCATGGTACAAATGACATCACAACTGTTTACCTATTGCTTACTTAAAACCACCAAGTTATACTGAATTTAATAAAAAACATTGCAAAAATCTACCATTAAATATTGTGACATATCTATATTAAAAAATTGGGCAATTGTGAATGAACAACTCAAGCTCATGAACTACTGTACATAACAAAGCCTTTGATAATGAAGGCAAACTATGAGTATGTGTACCAATATGATAAAATAATAAAACAAGCCCTCTGCATGAAACTTCTGTGTATTTGAAAAGTAAAATAAGCTTGATACCAGACATGTCCATTTCAACTTTTGGCAGCTTCATACTACAAAAGTAAAATAAGACTAACAGCAAATTTAACCCCTTTAACATCTGTACAGTATGTTGTTCTCTACATGTAACATAAATATTGCAGAAAACAACAATGTCATGGCTTTTAATTTGAATCAAAACTGTTTTATTAAATTTCAACTTTAAATTATACATCTCAGATGATGAATTAATTGATGCAACTAGCCTGTTTTTCCTAATTAAATGCCAGAAACATAAAACACGGATATATATATATATATATTGATACATATATGTATGTAATGTATTACATATTTCAAAATTCATAGTACCTGAAAAACCAGGTCCATTTGATTGAAATTCATCAAATATCAGCGAAG